AGTTCCGCTTACAGCAACCTAAAGAATTCAATTTGGGTTTGCTATCAAACATCCATCGGATAAAAATGGTGCATATGTCGCGGTGCAGTTTTAGAATCATTTAGCAACAGATCATCACTTCAAAGTCGAAATTAAGTGCGCAATCTTTTTTTCTTCAATCAGCACTATTGAACAGTGATTTGTGGGTGTGGATGTGAGAGTGTGTTTATCTTCGCTGCATGTATATCCACACCCACACCCCACACCCACCCACACCCATCCTCTTTGCATTGACCATCATAAACATTGAAATTAATTCTTTTATTATTGCACTAAAAGGATCTATTTTTAATATACATATAGACTGATGTCATATTGTAATACTAGTAGGAAAGACTTTCACTGAATAGACATTCACCCATCTCTGAATTAAAGTGTTGCTGTTGCTTTTATATGATTAAAAATATCGGCTTTTCTCTCAACTGAATCGTCAAATCAAATGAAAAAACGTTAAATGAAAAGAGCACCATGTTTAATATATTTTAAAAATAGAAAAGAAAAGAATATAATAAGAAAAATGAGCAAAAGAGATATGACATCATGTTATAAAACTTTAATTACGACCTTATTGAGTAGGATTGACCATTACTTGCATTTCCAAAGCATTTTCTGTGCTTTTCACCTCCGCAAAGCATGTAAAAAACACAATAAATACATAAATTGTTGCAAAAATAATATCTGACCACTAAAACAAGAGAAACATGCCATTCGATTGATATTCATTTATTTCTCTTTACATTTTATTGAAGTACTTTCAAAAATGCTACCATTTTCTTTGTATTTCCATCAATAATTCTCTTCCAAATATTATTCAGCAAGTAAATTTATTTATCAATTCCAAATGAAGTATTAAATCTCTCGATACAATGACTCATTAGCTCAAATTAATTTATTTAATTCTCGTAATCAATTACATTTATTGATAAAACTACTTAGGGCTATCCAAAAATACTGCCACCATTCTTTTACTTGCAAAAGGTCATAGAAACATTTTCTTGAAATATACAATGATAGTAAAAGCAATGCTGTTTTTCTATCAAATATGACATGAGAGCTGCGATTTTTATCGTTCGAAAGAGAGAAGCAAGATGCAACGAATTCTGTATAATATGTTGTTCTGGTATACTGTCTGGAGTCTGCTTTATCAATTTTCTTAGGTTTGAAAAAACGTTTTTTAATAAACATGAAACAGTAAAGAAAATTCTTTTTTTCACAGAAATTGCTGCCAAAATCACTTAGAGCTTTGATCCAAATCTCTAAAACTGTCGAATGATTAGTTCTAAACGTTTGAACGTTGGGCAGCTTCGTTGGTCTGCCATCGGCACTTTGAATAAACCTGATTATTTCAAAATTCGCTGTAAACATCTCATCGATTAGATTTGCGATAAAACAGGTCGATTGAAAATTTTGAAAAGATCAGGTCAGAAAAATCAATAATATTGGATTTTCAGTGTCGTCTTCTCCTCTTTCGGGCGATGAAAAGTGATTAGAAAGATGAGTGACTTATCTGGGTTCGTAATCAGCGTTGAATTTTTTCTCTCATGGAGCAACTTTTCGAAAACACTTAGTCAAAAAGTCGTCTTCATACCACTCGTGTAGCGAAAAAAAATGAAATTTTTTTGAAAAATTATGAAGTTGTTACCATTAATTGAATGAATACCGACGCTATTAATCAAATGTTCATTTTTGAAAACCTTTAGATCAAAGAATCACTTGAAAATAATCTTTATTTTTCATAAGAATTAGGCTCTAAAGATCGCAGTCAAATGAGCTGAGTTTTTCTAATCACCTCACATGTGATGATTTGACACTTTTTTTTTTCAGGTGTTTTTTAATGATCGGGTTTGAATCTTGTAAAAAATTGCAAATTAAGATTATTATATGTTTATAGAGAAATTTGTGCGCTATCTAATGATATGTCTTTTTTGTTAAAATTGTATCACAATAGTTTGGAAAATTGGTTTTTATTATTCCTACACAAAATATTCAGGATTGTCCAATTTTAGCCCGCCTATATACCAAAACTGTCTATTCATCCTATCATGGGGAAATGGGTACAATTAATTGTAGGTCTCACTAAAACGATCGTGGAAAAGTTATCCCAAGAGATTTTTACAAACCAAAACCACCGTTGAATAGAAAAATATTTTGTCTACATACTTTCTATCAAAATTCTTTTTTCATTTACAAAAAGATAGAAAAGATATTAGCTGTACGAGTAAAAAAGGTCAATTCTTTGTACCCATTCACCCCTCCTTATTCTATTTTAACATATTATTACCTGTTGGACATGAATTATTAGATTTTCAATATTAATTTGATGGCTATGTGTCCATGTGGCAAGTAAAGCGAACACAGCTGCATAAACTAATCGAACCATAGAATACTGTGAAAAGTACAATGACAGCATTAAATATCTAAGAAATAGTAACTTGCCTCACTTCACATTTATATATATATACTCCTTTGTTGAACGTTCACCGTTTTAACCTTTATGAAACAATAAATTGAGAATATAAAATATGTTAACGAGACCAATATTGTAAATACACATTTGATTATATGTTCAGTGTAACTGTTTTTGTTACTAATATTCACTGGAATACCATTTGTTACAATATTGATCAATACTAACAACTAAAAATAGAATGAAGAACATATGCGTATATTTCGATGTAGACGAAAAAGGTGTTCGATATTGACACATTGCAGTGCTCTATCTGACAATATAAGCGTAGTGATACAAGGTCGTCTCGAAATCTGAAACAAAATAATATCTATCTGATGAGTTCGAAATCTCAATATATTTCTTGGCACTTTTTTTGTGAATTAGAAAACAATATGGTACTTCTACGATCGTAGACACTCGTTTAATTAATAACAAAGAAAGAAAGAAACAGAAAAAACAATTATTGGTTGACGATTTCTTTCGATATAAAATTTGTACAACAATAAATATGGCACTGCAGTATGGATGCAACTCTATGTAAACAACAGAATTCAAAGTCAAGAACGATATCTATAGTCGAACATCTTGTAAACAAGATCTTGAGTAAAAAAAGGCGATATCATTTGTATGTTTACATGCTGACTATTATTGGCGCCAGAATTAAATGTAGGTTGATGTAAGATGAATATCTCGAGAACAGCAACAGCTATCAATCTGCGCTTTTCACCAGTCGAAAGAGACTGAGTTAGGGCATGCTTTGATATAATATTGCATAAGTTGAAATCATTATCTAACTCATGTGTTTTTGGAAAAATTTCCGAAAAATGTATAATAATACAATGTTATTCAAATCAAATTTGCATTCTGACATGCAGATTAGATAGAAGGACTTCAGATCTATAGTTCAAGATATAATGCGAATGATTAACTTCTCATCGTCTAATATTTAGAAAATGAATTCGGTCATTTCCACGTCGAAATCATAGAGAATTGTGTTGATTTTTATGCAAACTTTCTCACATTTTGTCAAAAACGCTCGTAGTTCCGATGCAAAATTGATAAAAAGTAAAAAAGAATCATCACTATTTCCTATGATTTTAGTGTGGAAATGGCCGAATTTAGTTGCTAAACATTAGACAATGAGAATTAATCATTCGCATTGTATCTTGAACTATAGATCTAAAGACCTTCTATCTAATTTGCATGTCAGAATGAAAATTTCATTCGAACAACATTAAATTATTATATATTTTTCGGAAAGATTCCAAAAAAGGGTCGGTTAGAAAATGATTTCAACTTATATAATATTATATCAAAACATGTCCTAACTCAACCTCTTTCGATTAGTGAAAAGCTCAGATCGCTAGTTATTGCTGTTCTCAAGATATTCATCTTACATCAACTCACATTTAATTCTGGCGCCGACAATAGTATTTGTAAAGCAACTATATAAGATAATAAATGTGTAAGAAATCTAATACTAGTTTATAATTGTTCTAGATTTATCGATCTGTATAGAAGTACCATGGTTAGAAATAGCTTCGAAATCTGCATGATATTAAGCAACTAAAATGTAAAAAATTGAAGCTAATACAGTAGCAAAAGTATGAACAGACTATTCTATTTACTTTTAGGCCCATTAATTCATTTAACATTATTATTCACTGCTGTCTAAATATCAAGGATCTATTTCGAAAGGTGTGATGTGTTCTGACCCAATTTGGCTGCGCTTAATATTATTTTGTTCAATCAAAGATCGCATCAGTCGATAAGGTGCTGATTACTTTGCCCCATCAAGGTGTTTGCTGATTGTTTTGAAATAATGTCAATTTGATATTGAGCTAACACGATGTTGACAAATCTCTGATGATAATTAATCACTGCCAAGTTGATCTCACATATCAGGTAAGACGTTAGATCGAGCTCTGATTAACATTTTTTGGCTTGCTTGATATTAAGTAACAAAAATTTGACTTTGAATGAATTCTTTTATTCATTTGTTGACTCGAAGAGAAATTTCTCGTATCCAGAGTAATTCATGTTACTCACAAATCGAAATGTCTCTGTTTCAAAACCTACTGATCGTTTTCTTTTCAATGGAAGATTTAGCTTTATTTGCTTTTAAGTTCAAACCAGTTCTATATTTCAATGACTGATAATTGATCATATCAATATTTAACATGAATTTAAATAAATTCTGAATAGTTCGAAAAAAATTGAATGTTAGAGTGCTCATCAATAAATAAATTTTTCTAGTGATTATAATCAAATATATTTTGTTTAATGACGAAAAAATAAATATTTTAATGTAGTCTCATACAGAATCAATGATATTGCAAGGTTCTTTTTTCATAAAAACTATTGAATAGAAAATGTTCTGTGTTGTCCTTGACCTTGTCAGTAAAGACTCATTTTTACCTGAAAGTAACAAATTATTTTTTATTCTTTTATCTGAAAAAAGAAACAAGAAAATGATTGATTTAATGTGTTATTAACATATAGACAAAATTCTATGGAACAAAGAATTCCTTTAACTTTAACATCAGAAAATTCATATAACTATCGAAATCGTTCTTCTAACAGTGAAACATCATATAAATGGGTTCGTTATATTGTTGGCTGTGTTACGGTAACATCAATATTTGGTTTAATAATTTTTCTAATAATGTTAGGTATTCCAATAAGTATGCTTGTTATTGGTATTCGTTATCGTAATCAATATTATTGTCCAATTGAACCTCGTATAAGTCTTTTTTTAATTGTTGCTGGATCTGTTTCAATTGGATTGATTATTCTTATAATTCTTTTATCATTATTAACAATATTTATTTCTTATAAAAATTCAATAATGACAATGATTATTTTTCTTATTTTAAGCTTTTTTATATTTGTTGGAGAAATATTTTCAATAATTTGGTTAATTATAGGTAGTATTTGGACATTCCATATACGAACTCGTGTAGAACATAGAATTAATTATCCTTTTAATATGAGATTATATTGTCATAAAACATTATATCAATTTACTTTTATTTATTTAATTATTATTTATATACTCATAGGACTTCAATGTTGTTTTCATTGTTGTTCAATTATGTTGCGTTGGAAAAAACAAAAGTAGATCAGTTCTTTAAAATAATAATCTTTATCATCTATTCAAATATGTTATCTATTAAATTTTATCAATAAAAAATATTCAATGAAAAATCTGTATTGATATGAAAAATAAATTCGATCTAATGAATAGATTTTTTATTGAAATATAAAAGGCTCAAGTTTCTAATGACATTATTATTTAGAGGTTTTCAAGTCGAAAATATTGATCTTTTTGGAATCGAAATTGAAAGTATTTAACAACAGATAAAAAACTTTACTTTTCAAATAATTGTTTTTATGAATTTTCAATAAGTAAGGCAGCTTTTGTTCAGAAGAAAATTAAAAAAAAATAGAGGTTATTCTATTTTTTCATGTCAAGTTTTGTACCACTAGAATTCTTGTCACTGTAGTTATGAAAATTTCAGAATGAATATAATGTCAATATTTCGTTCTTAGTGGTCAGATGAGTAAAAGAGAAGTTTTTCTTTTATCTTAGAGCAATAGAGAAACATATAACTTCATAAAATAAGGCGTCATATCATATGATTAAAACAAATAAAAATCTTCTTTTTGTTCTTCAATCAATCAGTAAATCATATTTGTGTACACTAAAATCTTTTAAAAAGTCTAACATAATTCTGATAATAAATCAATAATAAAATGTCAAAAAAAAATGCTTCACTGCTCAAGAACTATTAATAGGTACAAACGGGTTATATCAGAGATATGTTTCTGAAAATCACAACTTCTTGAAGACTCATTAAAATAAGTTTTCAAGAATAAAATGCTGGTTTATCAAATGGAATGAATAAGATCGGTTATTATTTATAATTAGACTATTCAACTTCAGTAAAATTGATTCCATTCAATGCAGTGGATACTAATTTTTTTTTTCTACGATTAATGTAGTTTCATCGATTGAAACTGTTCTTTTCAGAAATGATGATTCTTGAAAAAAAACATAATAAAATTCTCATCAGGTGTTCTGAGACAATTTTAGACATGCCCATAGCGGTATATTGAGATAAAAGAGTTGCATAAATGTTTTTTACCCTCTAGGCTGTTATTCTTTTGCAAAGTAGATCTTATATGCTTATTTGTACAACCTTCTATCTGACAGTTGGAGATCTGTTCTTATTAATTGAAAACAAATTGATTAAAATTAAAATTTCTTCTACATTGATGAAAATATGATTACAAACACTTTCAAAAAGAAAATTGTTAATAATAAAATAAAATTAAAAAGGTCGATATAAATCAGTTGTTTCAAGTTCAAAAACATCATGTATTGTTGTACCTAAAGCTAAAGCTGCTTTTGCAAGTTGTGTTATTGAATAATACATAGCTGATATAGCAATAAATATTGAATCAGCTTGATCATTTTTAACAAATGGAACAAAATTTTCAGGTATTTCACCAGATAAAAATCTTTGAAAATAATATTTTAATAATTGATTTGTTGATTTTTGATGTTCTTGTTGAAGATAAACAACAGTTTGATGAAGTTCAGTTAAACATTGTTCATATTTATTTAAATCAGTTTTAAGTAAATGTTTTCGATGATAAATTGAACCACGATGGATTTGATAAGATTTTGTTTGTGTTAAATAAAAATAAGATGACCAAACTTGAAAACAATCATTTAATTGTTTACTTAAATTACGAATTTCATTATAAAGATCAGGAAGAAATAAACCATCAGATGCAAATATGCGAAGATTTTCAACTTGTTTTTTATCCATATTTGAACATTCATTTATTCGTAATAACTTAAATAAAAGAAAACGAAAACAAATTATTTTCTTTTTTTAAATAAAGACTTACAGATAAATTAATATGATATAACATTCTATAAATATCAATTTGTTGTTGAACAAGTGTTTTATAACGTGAAGTTGAAAATCCATTATTAAGCCACCAACAAGATGGTTCAATTGATGCATAACCAACTAATGTTCGTTGAGTACTTATTAATTTATGAAAAGTACGTCTTTGATTATTAATATAATATTTAATATCATCTAATGTCGAAAAATCTATTAAATTTTCTTGATTATCTTCATGATGAAATACTTTATTATATATATGTACTATGGATTCAACATTATTTCGACATAATTCTAATGTTGCTAAAATAATATATATGAAAATGAATTAGATTTTTTTTTCATGTATCCAGAAAGTTCTTATAAGTTTATATTGAATCTATTTAACAGAACGTTATCTTATCAAAATAAAATTGATTTGAATTCTTACTTTAATAATAACTCAAAAATTGTTTATGTATAAGAAGTCTGGCTCCTGTTCAATGGTAGTTGCTTTTGCCCCTGATTGATATGAGAGAGACTTAAAACTTCTCTTGACTATATTTTTGTTTGAAATACATAAATGTTCTTTATCTATTTATTGTAAGACTAATTGAATATAAGTAAATCTTGATTATCTTGTTATATAAAGTACTACGAAAAACAAGGAGAAAATTTAAAAACTTTCAACTTGAGGATAAAAGATATAATGAATAAAAAAATATCTTTAAATAGTTACTGTGAATATTTTCTTTGAGTAGATCAATAGCAAAAAGTGGAAAAATGATAATAGCAAGAACAAGAGCAATACTAATTCCAATAACATTTTGTTGAATTCTAAGAAGTACATAATTTTCAGCTGGTAATAAATCTGCAAATGGTAAACGTCCTAAATTAACAATAATTGGTGTTAATGCAGCTATTGTAACAGTATAACCCCATTGAGGATATAATTTCATATAACCACAAAAGAACATCCATGGACAAAGCATTATTATTGTTCGAAATAGATCATTTCCAGCTGATAAATATGTAACATATGCCCACATAGCACCTTGAATATTAAATAGAAAACAAAAAAAAAACAAATAATTATTTTCTAATATAAAGATTAAAAATTAAAAAAAAACAAATACCAAATAAAGTTCCAATTAATCTCATTTTAATAGTTGTAAAAGCACCTCCAACAGTATCTCCTTGTGTCATACAAAGTGCAATTAAAATCCATTGACCATGTTCAATTTTCTTTGCTATATTTGGAATGATAACAAATATTGAACCAACTCCAATAATAATGATTGTTTTTAATGCAAATATAAATCTTGACCAATCGAATTTAAAATAATTTTTAAATGAAAATTTTCGTTTATGTATTTTTGTATTTTTATTAATTAATATTGATTTAGTTAATAATCGAACAATTGAACCTAATTGAAATAGAAAAAATGAATGTAATAAATGATCTTCTGATTGAATTATTTTTGATGATTGAAATGTATCTTTTATTAAATGAAGACGAGTTTCAATATATGATGAACGAACTGTATCAAAACTTAATTGAAGATTTGTTAAATTATTTAATAATTCATAACGAGTTATTGATGAATGAGGAATTAAACATGAAATAAATAATGATTGAGATGAACTTAAATTTAATAAACTTGTTTTTAATTGATTAATACAATCATAATGATATTTATTAAATGAACATTGTTTAACTAATAATTTAAGTGAACATATATTTAACATTAATGATGTTGTTAAATCTTCTTGTTCTTAAACAAAAACAAGAATGACTATGTTAAATAATTTATTATTTAGAAAAAAATCAAAAAAAAAAAAATCAAACTTTGTATAGTTAAATCAATAATAAATCTTCTTCTTCTATTAAATATAATTTGTAATAATCTTGATGGTTCATAAATAGTATCTGAAAATCTTGATTGAGTAGTAATCATTGTTTTACGTATCATTTTTTCAATAATATGTGCACGAGAAAGTAAAATATTCGCACTTATATGATCTTCAGATAAAAAAGCTTCTATAACTAAATGATACATTTGTTGAAGATGTGATAAACAATAATTAACACGATTTTCAATATCAAATGTTGCAAATAATGGAAATATAAATAAAGAAATAGTTATTGATAAAAATATTCCAATTATAAATTCTTCAAGTAATTCAAATGGAAAAAATTTAGGAATTTCATTTCTATTAATAATAGTTACAAAATAAAGTGTATTAAATAATAAACTTAATTTTCTTGTTGGAGTTTTTGTACATTTATATGATATTATTAATGATGATAATAAATAAAAAAATTCATTTAACATATAATGATGATATAAAAGACGATTATTTTGAAGAATAAATAAATATATTGATAATGGAATTATTATTAATATTAATTGAATATTTGTTGATAATGTTAAACCAAATGTTTCATTAATTGATAATATTGTCATTCCAGGTATCATAAATTTAAGTGTTAAATGATCTCTTAATCTTGTTCCATAAGCAATAAAAGCAGCAAGAGAAAAAGCAATAACCATACGTAAAGAAAATTGAATATGACGCGTGAATTTTGAATTAACCCATCTAGATGTTGATTCACCAAAATGATAATTAAAATAAATATGACGAATTGTTTTACAATATGTTGATAAACACATTAGAAATTTATTCATTTAATAAATATATTTTTTAACTTAACTAAAAATAATTTATATCATCCAAAGAATTAAAAGACATAAATATCTGATGAAAATATTCTTTGATTAAATTAATTCAATTAACATAGTCTTATACAAAGAAAATATTTTTTTCTAAGATAAAATCTATTTCCAAAAAAAAAAAAAAAAAGGAAAAATAGGTTCTGAAAAGAATAACAAATGTAACGCAAAGTACTGACATTTAATTATATTATTCTATGGGTTCTTTGATTCGAACATCACTTTCTTTTTTGTTAAGAGTGTCAATGTAGATCAAAATAGACCTACTTACGTATATGTTGTAGGCAAAATTGAAATTCAGGCAAATTTAAAATTTGCCTAGGCAAAATTGAAATTTTAATTTTGCCCAGTCAAAATTAGAATTTCAATTTTGCCTAGACATTGCTTGGGCAGAATTGAAATTTCAATTTTTCATAGGCAAAATTAAAATGCAGCTAGGAATAAATTCATACAATCACGTTCTTTATCAAAAATAAAAGAGACTAATATGGGTGAATAGATTAAAAGATTTTGTTGAACTGTATTCTCTTGGAATTGTTTAATTAAATGAAGAAATATTTTTCAATAATAAAGTTTTTCTATTCAGATTTTAATTTTTTCATTGTATGAATTTATTCCTAGCTATATTTTAATTTTGCCTAGGCAAAATTGAAGTTTCAATTCGACCCAAGCAATGTCTAGTCAAAATTGAAATTTTAATTTTGCCTACAACATATATGTCCACTAGAATTTTAATCGTATTTATAGTCTTCTATCGAGTATGAAAACGAGGACATTGACACTTCGAATTCTTCTCTCGAAAAAAAAAGCCAAACCAACAAATTGTCTTTCGAAGAATAAAATCTATTTATTAAATGACATATTTCATTTATTGTTTTATATAAGACGATTTGAAAATGTTTCACATAAATCATCAAACAAACTTAATTGAATGGAAGAAAAATTGTTTTAAGTAATTAAACTATTCGTCATAGAAGAAAAGTAAACTAATAGTTATTTAATGACTTACTTCATGTTACTTTAATCGTTCTGTCATAATCAATCTTTATATGACTAATCTTCGAGAATAAGTCACATAAGATATTCTTCTTCAGCTATTATTCTAAACAAAGGTCAAGGTTATATAACTAGAATACATATGAATAGACGATAATCACTAACAGAATAACAAACAAAATCTCTTTTTCTTTTCTTTTCTTCGATAATTCGACAACTTAGAATAAGTTTTTTATATTAATATGTTAGATCCAAATAATTTATCTTATGTAAAAGTAAACAATAAGTTGAATAATCTTGATAAGAAACAGAACTTGACTATAGACACATATATCATTTTATATTGTTCTACTATAAATAGATGATTATATGTCAATGTTTAACCTTGATTTCAATTATGAAATATTTCGATAATTGTCTTTCAAGTATTATGATTATTCAAGTATTCCTTTCTGTCTGAAGGCGTTATGGTAAGACGCACACAGTGGATTTCTCTCGTTCAATTGAATAATTGAATAAGTTTATAGAGTTGAATAATCAAATAGCTCCATGGTTTAATAATTCAAGAGTACTTCAACAAGAGAATTCAAGTTTTACGTTTGACACTATCGTATACCTGTTCGGTTCACTTGAACTTTTTAAATTACTTGGTTTTCAGCAGTTTCTTTTATCAATTTTGAAATCAGTAAAACTGATCTATTTTGCTTGCTTTTACCGATTTTGATGGATTTAGTCCAAGAAATAAATTGTTGCATCGATGAAATTTCGAGTTTACTTTTCTAATCTGATTTTAATCGATTTTGAGTAATTCTCAATCGATTGTTTTACGAATAAGTAAACCTTTTAGTTGTGTCAAACAAGAATTACGAAAAAGAAAACGTCAAAGTAATTTATCTTTTCAAAGAAATCATTTCTTTATTTCAAAAACTAAGCCAACTCGTTTTCTCCTCGGTCATTAAAGCTTCTATGATAAAATTAATCAGACAATCATTGTGATATACGTCTTATACAAAGTTTATTTCACGTTTTCCAAAGGTTGACAATTTCTAAAAACTAAAATATTTGATTAAACGCAGTTTTTCTTTTGTACGTAATTTTCAATGGAATAAATGCTGATGACAGATTAACGCGTCAATGTGAACGTTAGTTGAAAGAACACAGTACTTTTGCCACATAGAATAATATTTAATCAGGAAGATGATTGCCGGTTGGTCAATCATTGTTCAAAAAGTGTTAGATCTATTGATATTTGAGAAGTTTAGTACTTGTCAACTTTGAATTTGGCCGAAGACATATCAATGATGAAATACAAGGTTTTTCAAGTAGTTTAACAATACTTGTTCAAGGGTTTTGCGTTTCATCCGAACTAATCGATATTCTTCTTGATAAACTAATTTGATAGAAAATTCGTTTTTCTCTCAATGCTTTTCAGAAGTCTTTTTTTGCTTAACATAGAATAGAAATTGTTGATAGTAAGTCCATTGATTAACTACAATGGTCAAATGGGACGAAAAAAAACAATAGATATTTAATAAAAAATCGTTCAAAATAAAATTGACATCAATTTATTTTTGTATTCAATGATATATTCATTGAAATTTAAGAAACTCAATTTTACTTTCAATAAATTCGTTTTCTTTGAAATGATATACGAAATAATATGTAAGATAGATCATTTAAAAAATTAAGAAGTTGCGATATATTTTATCTACATGATATTGTTTATAAGACTTGATGATTAAAAACAGATGGAAATTTATAAAAATTTTTACAGAAAAAAAACATATTCTTGGATTCCTTTTTCAAAACATATATATTTAATCAATAATTATCAATCAAATAATTAAGTGACAAAATCTAGAAATAGTTTCAATTTTTCCAAAGGAAAAAGAATATTAATTTATAAATGTATTATAAAAAATGTTTTATTATTTGTTTCGATCTTAATTTAAAAAAAAGCAAAAAACATTACTGAAAGTTCAAGAATGAACTTGAGAATAACTTCAACTATTTATTTTTTCAGAATCATTTGCGAAGAGATTAGGCTAAAGGCAGAAGACTAGCTAGAGTTAATGGATCAAATAAAACGAACCAATGCCAATAGCTCCTTCTCATCATTAAGGTTAATTTTTTTGTTTGTTGAATACATCTTACTAAATTTTATTAATCATAGGATGAAATACATTTATTGAAAATGATACTAATCTGATAAGAATGAGGATTTATTTTAGAAGATATGTAATTAGTTTATTTTTCAGATATCTAAATAGATAAAATAAACTTATTGAAATGAAATTAGGAAAGTTGTTTCAATTATCGAACACAAAAAATTATTTCCTTTCTTATTTTATTTAACTGAAAGATGCATCAATGTCTGTTTTATCTATTGGTATATATCTATTACCAATTATTCAATCGTCAACTCTTTGTTTTATGAGACATTTGTCTACACTCTTTTATTCTTTATTTCATTATATAAAGAAGATTATTTAGCATGTCTTACATAGATTGAGGAATACTTGTACAAAAGAATATTCCTCTTATTCAGTTTAGGATGCCGAAAATAAATAAATATCTTGAGCATGTTAAAACAGGTAGTAAAAATTAAAAACATTTGTGAAATATATATCATTCAATCAGGTCTATGCTAACAGCATACTTTTAATGATATAAAAATATAGATTGCAATTCGAGAATTACACTCAGATTAGTTGTCATGGTATATTTTCTTATTCTTTCCTTCTTCAAAAAAGAAAAAAAGGAATTATAACAACATGAAAAGGTCTGAATTTTGTTAGGATCCTAAAAAAATACAATGGAAATTGTCTGAATAGATTTAAAAAAATAAACATTTGTTCTATCATATTAATCAGAAAAGAAAAGATCGCTGACAAATGAATACATGTTCGATAACACTCTACTTATTAAAAATGTTATCGATCATAATCAACTTAATCTCATTGTTTTGAACTAACTTTCACAATATCCAATAACGGCTTCACCTATTTGAAAAAAGTTTCTGATTAAAATAAATATTTTAATTTTACGCAAAGAATTTGAGCAAAACAAAATCTTAGCAATGCTAATATTAAACTAAACAAATTCATTTAGAAAAAATCTTTCATAAAAAAAATAAAAGAAAAAATTCTAAAAACTTTTTTTGTTGTCAATATTTTCGATTAGATAAGAAAAAAATATCTGGATTTGTTTTCTTGTGTCCACGTTCAATCGTTGAGTCATAATAGAAACCTCAAATTAATCTCATTGATATGACTTTATTTTACAATTTCCAATACTGTTAAGATTATCTTCAAGAAAAAAATTAAATAAGAATAACATTTAATTATTTTTATTTTTAGTAATCAATTAGATCAATAAACAATTGAATATATTTATCATCTTAAATATATATGATTTCGATTTTTCATCTTTCAAATGTCTGCCTGAATACTTTGAAATTTTAGTTGGAAAGGCTCACATAACATGATAAACTTTTAAATATAAATATTTCTTTGGACAGTTACAATCACTGAATTCAATAGTTTCATCAATCGTTTGAACAGAAATATACTATTTCGTAGATCATTGAATAATAAATTGTTGAAAAAACAAGTGAGAATGACATTTATTCTACGATGTCGATTAATTCAACATGATTATGAAATTTTTTAACAAAGTAAATATCAAAATCTTTGATGATGTAAATCAATTACATTAACTTTTACTTGCTCAATAAGAATAGAAAGAATTCAATGGTTAATATAAACAACAAAACTATAGAGTATCTATTATAAGAAAATTCATTGATATGGTCGACATATTGAATCGAACGATAGATAGATATAAAACAAAGGAAAATGGCGTCACAGTGAACGAATGAATAATCGATGAGAAAAGCTTTATTTATTCTTTCTATTGTTTGTTATTTCTTGTTTCACATATTTGTTTAATATACGATT